CCCCAAACCCCCAAAACCCCAAAACCCCAAAACCCCTAATAGGGTGAACCTTATTGAATTAAATAAAAATGGAACAAGATACTGGAGACAGGCATAAGAAACAAGATTATCTGAAGAGAGAAATCCTGGATAAGAATTACGACAAGGCAGAATTTGCAGAGTTCATGCTTAAGCAAAAAACTGATGGTCTTAACGTTGACAATTGGGACCACAAAGAGTTAATCATGGCGGTAGATGATTTCGTCAGGTAATTTTAGGTATTTATAAATGTAGGACTCATAAGCAAGTTCCAATGGAGTATGTTGACCCTTATAATGAGGAAGCAACACCGACAAAGGATCGATCTGATTCTTCTTTCGGAGAGAATCAGTATATGAATACTGATGAGATTGATTCAGATACATATCTGAATGAAGGAGACCAAAGCAATCAAAGCTATGATAATTATGGACAGAATGAAGGATATAATCCTTACGATTATCCTCAGGATAATTATGAGAACAGCCAAGGCCCTCAAGATTACTACAACCAGGACCAAAAGATAGAACAGACTGATCCAAATGCTGGATTTCCTGAAGTGAGCCAAGAGCCTGCTCCACAAGCTGTTATTCCATCCACAGGAAATAGCACTGGTACTTCTGACATTTCAGGCCAGCCATCAGACAACAAATTCAAGGAGATCCACCAACATCAGGAACAAGAGAGGGAGAGGATCAGGAAAGAGGAAGAAGAAGAGTCCAAAAAGCTAGAAGAAGAGAAGAAAAAGGAGGAAAAACAAGCTAAAAAGAAGGAAAGAAAAGCTAAGAAAGTACTATTTTGTTAGATTATACTATAGGAAGAGAGAGATGAGAAGGAAATACAAGAGAAGTTGCAGCTAGAGAGTATCCTAACTCAAGCTTTCAATAATGAGACTATGTTCGCTCCTGCAAAGAATTTTGCAGATATGAAACCTAAGCATGCTATGGAATATAGGATTAAGAAGGATAAATTCGATTGTGTGAAGCTTCCGAAGACCAAACTTAACCAAGAGAGAGAAATTACAATCTTGGTGAGCCAGCCAGAAGTAATTGATGAAGGCTTCTTTCTGGGTAAACATCTTTGCTTCACTGTTGAGACTAGGCCTTTGGGGTGGGTAGTCACGAGAAAAGATAAGGATTTTAATGTATTGAGAGATTACTTAGTAAAAGCCTTCCCCCACCTTGTAATTCCTGCAGTCCCAGAATTCCACAGTTGAAAATCCATGGATAAGTCTATGACAAAGAAGAGAGAAAATCTATTGAATAGGTTTATGAATAAGATATTGGTCCAGAAAGATTTGAAAGCAAGCCCAGTTGTTCTAGACTTTTTAAGCTATGAGGACTCACAAGCCTTCACAAAGCAGCTTAAGCAAAGCTTTGATTCCGCTCCGAAGTTAAGATATGTGCACGAGTTTCCTTCTGTTTCTGGAAATCATAAAGTAAATATTACCAAGAAAATAGAGATGATGTGAAATCAATATGAAAAATATGTGAACAGCCATGAATGCTTGTTCAAAAAGTACCATTTCTTAGGAAGAAAACTCAGTAGTGATCTAATGGAGGTGGCCAAAACTCTCGATGCTATATCATACTGTTCCAAGAACCTCTCAACAATGTACAAGATGGGAAATTCTAGTGAGATGGCTGAGATTTATGACAACTTAAGTGATCACTTTAAGAAATGGTGCAAAGACATGCATCATGAGGCCAAGATAAACTTGAGACATATTCCCCAGTACTTCAACTACAGCTCTTTAGAATTTGAGGGGTATAAAGATCTTCTCAACAAGAGAAACAAAATCGTAGAGAAGTTTATCTCAAAGAACAATGATCTTCAAGTGAAGAAGGACAAATTGTTCAAAGCAGGAAAGCCAGAGAAATGGGAGCTTAGTGGCGAAGACATGAAGAGAGTTACGAGCCTGCTCAATGATAAGACAGAAGCTTTTAAAGTTATGCTTCCAGAACAGACCAAACAGGTAGATGATTATGAGAAGACTTATGTCTTTCTATCAAGTCAGTGTTATAAGGAGATCAGAAAGTTTAACAAGGACGAAGTTGATGATTTATATGAGCATTTCAAGGAGTATACAGCTAAGATGGGCGAGATCTTGACAACTGAGCAGCTTGATTGGGCATCCTTCGATGAAAAGCTACATGAAAGAGAAATTGGAGAGTCAGAGGAAGATTCTAAAGTTGACATTTAAATAAAGTATTCAGCGAAAGAATTGTTTTTAGGGGTTTTGGGGTTTTGGGGTTTTGGGGTTTTGGGG